TTTTTTTTTAAGATTATAAGCTTTAAAACTATAGAGTTATATAGCTATAGTAGCTATATACGCCTGAGGGTATATACGCGCTACTGTATTATATAGCTCTCAGCCGCCGGGCCTACGACCATTTCAGTGGCAGGCTGCTTGGAGCACTGTTGCTCCTGAGCCTCACGGAGTCGGCGTCCACGGATTTTGCCGACCGAAGAGGAGCGAGCCGAGTTGAGGATGCTCTCGGCTTCAATCAAGTTCTGAGTCTCCATTGCTCCGGCGACTTGTCGATCTTCGATTTCCTGAACTCTGCGTTCATGGAAGCTGTTGCCGTTGACAGCAGGTTCAAGAGCTGCTGTGGTAGACAGGATGCTGCTGAGAAGCACGGCGGTGATGGTGGTGAACTTCATGTTGATGAGATTATTGTTTGGTTAAGTTAAGACTCTCAACGGTGACTTTGTAGGTATCTGAGGGCTTGAATAAGATATAGGAAGGTCAGAAGAGATGATGAAATTCTTTGGGATGATGAGCTGGATGAAGGAAAAGGGCACAATTGATGGAAAATATCCGTCATGTTTATGGAATTCAAGCTGCAAATGTCTTGAGAATCTCCAACACCTGATCTATCGGCCTAACATTGATCTTGGCCTGACCTGTTCGTTTGGCCCCCGTCTTCGATGATCGCTTCGAAATTGTTTTCTCTATTACGGTTTCTTCGCAAAACCAGTTCAAGCAAGAATCTGCGTATGTTGCGAAACCGAGCTGTGTCACGATCAAAGAACGCACTCATCATTTACGACTAGCTTGAGGTACGCCTCGTGCTCTGAATTTGGCAAACCTCTTGGCACTTGGCCTTCTCTACCTTGATGTCGTTCGAATACAATATCCCGGGTTCGAAAGCCCGAGGCGGTATCAGACAGGACGGATCCGAGAACGATGAGCCAATTTGCGGGCCGTGGGGCATAGATCGACAGCCATCCCGAGAAAGCCGGAGATGTCAAACCCGGCCGGCGCACTGCCCAACCGGGATTAATTTATGGCGATCAACGTTAATGTGGTTTAGTGTATGAGAGCGAGTCACGATGCCTCCGTCCCCTGTGAAGTTTACTCTTGACCTAAATACTAATCGGGCTGACATGTAGCGACGAACACCCTTATGTCAGCTCGATCACTATCGTCAGATGGGTCTAGATTGTCTGAAGACTTGCCATATTGAGAGGCTGATGTATAACCGCCAAGCCATCAATGCCCAGCCTCAACTATGTACCATGTCTTTCGTCGTGACTCGTGATGAGAAGTTCAGCTTCGTTTAGGATCTTGTAATCTGAGTGATCAATAATCAGGCAAAAGAAATCATGAGGCCGGACCTGTGAGGCCTCGTATTGCGGACGATCAAGGTGGACTGCGCCTTCGCGAAAGCGAGTGAGATGGCGATTGAAGAAGTCCTTTGAAGCATCCATGACTATGCGAATGTGCACTCGGCGCTCAAACCTATAAGAGACGGGCTTCCACGACGATGGAAAGTCTTCTTCTTATTTTCATCAGCATCACACTTCAGTATCTTCCACTATCATAACAATCTTTAGCTCACTCAGCTCCTCCAACCATTACACCAAAAGTTTTCAAGAACCTCGTGTCTTCTGTCTCTTAAATTTCCTAAAGAAACCGCCAAATGTTCTCCAAGACCATCGTCGCTGTTCTCCTTGCCTCCTCCGCTGTGTTCGCAGCTCCCGTCGAGACTTCGACAAAGGAGGTTGAGGAGAGACAGATCAACCAGAGTGTCACTCTTTGTAGCGACAAGGGCATGGCTGACTGCGACACGGTCAACTTCAACTTTGGCTTCTGCGGTTTGTGTTACATCTATCCTTCAAGAGAGATCCCAACTAACAATCCTACAGTCTCTCCTATCGGAAGACTAAACGATAAGGTCAGCTCGCTGGATGCCCATGGTTACAACTGCATCTTTTACAAGTAAGTAATGAGCAACAGGCAGCTGTAGATAATCATGACTAACACATGAAAGTGACACAGGATGCCGCACCGGCGGCGGCCAGATTGCCACCACTGGCAAGGTTGACGACATTCGTAGCCACCCTTCTTTCAGCACCATGAATGACGATGTTTCCTCTTTCTTGTGCAACATCTAAGACATTTCCTCATTGTATCGTCCGCATTTTTCAACAATGCGCCAGCATTACGAATCGTTGCAGGTGAGCTGCTATGGACGGTCATAGAGATGGAGGTTTGCTTCAGTGCAGAGGAGCTAGGGAGCTGTGAGACAAATTGCCATGTAATTAAAACAGAACTTCTCATGTGTTATTTCTGTATTGATTCTTTATCTATTATAAATGTTCTATAGTGTGGCTAGACCACTGATCCTGTAGTTGTTCATTCTCCATCTCACCATCGCCACTTGCATTGTACTCACAGCTGACGTACAGAAAGACACCGTAAGTGTGTCGTTCTATTCAGCGATCAGAAATCGTAGTGAACTTGAAATATGGCACCAATTGGTGTATTCCACAGTTCCATTCTAAAGCCATCAAAGCATGTCTTTCAGGCAAACTTCAATCCAGGGAAGATTACTGTTAGTTGAACAGTGAATTACCAAGCATTGTGAAAACTTGTCCAATTGCATGTTCACAGTAAATCAAGGCCAGGCTTATGGAGAGTTCGTAATCATCATGGCTTTAGCCAAGGGTATCTTAGATCTTTGAAGTCCCGTGAGGCTCCTAATAATTATGTACAACTACAATTCTGAATCACAGCTTAAGAAGACCTGCAGGCAAAAGGCTTGTGAGCAGAGCCAGTCGTCGTCTCATCAATCTTTACGTCGTTAGCATGCCTTTCGAGGAATTTGAAATTTCGCGCTGACTTACAATATCCACGATGGTCGAGTAGGTGCCAGCGACCAGGGTGACAGCACCGATAATGAAAGCGAGGATGCTTCCAGCGCTGATGAGAATATTCTCCCGGGAGTACCACTTGCCCTTGCAGAGCAGTGCGAACCACATGATAGCCGGGATATAGAATGAGAACCCGGAAACGAAGAGAGCAGAAGCCAGAGAGAGCAGGTCGGAAAAGATCGGAATAGCCTCGGCAATCACCCAAGCGATGATAGTGAAGATGACCACAAGGATAATCCAGCTAGCCCAGCCCATGGGGGTGTTGATGTAGCGCAAGTGAGAGTTCTTATACATACGGCCGTGAAGGTATCGGAGGGCAACAGTCGAGTTGATCGAGCCGGAGATGAAGATAACCGGGATAGCGACACCGAAAGCAATCTTGGAAATAAGAGGTCCAGCAGAGAGTAGCGCTGGGGATTGTACGGAAGGCCCGATAAAAGCGTAGCATAGAGCGCCGGTCAAAGTATAAATACCAATCTGAATGAATCCTGACGCCCAGATGGACTTCATGTAGTCGGTCGGCGTATGCATCTCGTCCATGAAGGAAAATTGGCCGATCGCGAAACTGAAAGCAAAGATGATGTTGCTCACTGCGACGAAGGCCTCGGAGAAGGAAATCCCCTCCTTAGGCCAAGCAGACCACTCGACACCGGAAAGACCGCCTGCGGAGTTGCTGGCCTGAATACCAGTAGCGATAACGGTAATGCCAATAGCCGCCAGGATGGACACGAAGTCGATATATCCCAGAATGGCGACCTCGGTGAACGACGGGGGAATGGCGAGAATGAGAAGGATGATAGCTGAAACTGCGGAGAAGACGATGGAGCAAACATGCCCACCGTTGATATCAACCAGCGCTATGCTTCCAGTCAGAGCGTGAGAACCAACAACCATGACAAGCTCAAGAACAAGAGCAGCACCAAAAAGCTCGTATCCAATACGTCCGAAGCGGCCGAAAAGAAGTCTTCCAGCATCCGCGTAGTTGGCGATGTACGGGTGAGCCAGCTTGACCTGGCCGACGAGATAACTGGTGAAAATCGAGATCATGCCAAGGGTGATGGTGAGGAAAACACCCGGAAACATTCCGAGAGTATGATAGGCCGAAGGCAGACTGAGGGCACCGAGGGCAACGGCCTCAACGATGGTGACGATGGCCAGGCGCTTCCAGCCCAGACGGTGGAAGTGAGCGCTACCCTCGGCGGCAATCTTCTTGAGGCGGTCGTTGTTTAGTTCATCGCTGGTTTCGCCGAGCATGGTCTGGTCGTTCATCTCGGGCCAAGGGTTGCGCGGCTGAACTTGCTCGGCATCGACCTTGTCGTTCTTGGTGTCCTTGCTGTTGGGACCGGTAGCGGTCGCGGTGGTAATAGCGTCCGTCATTGTGGGAGGAATTGAGCCGTTGTAGTCACTGCCGACACTTTGGAAAGTTTGGCGAGGGCTGGACTCAAGAGGGAAGTCAAGAGAGGAGGAAAGACGAGAGGGTAAGACCACTGGAGGAGCAAGAACCCGGGCGGTCAACTCGACGCGAACGGTCTGACGTTTGCTGTCTTTTAAACGATGATCAAGAGGCGCGAGTCAAGATTTTGGGGTCCACATGGGCGATGACCAACCGGCGGGATCCTTGACCGGAGAGGTTGTCGTCAGTCGCATGGCCGGTAACAGTCGGGTCTTCCTCCACAGAACGATCTCGCCCCATGGGCGCCCAGAGATAAGAGATAACCCCTACAACACGGGGAATGCATCTTGGAGTAAAACGATCTAATTGTTTTGTGTCATTGTACAATAAATACCCCGTAAAGACTGAATTGCGAATGCGCTGAATGGTCGTTCTTCGGCCTGAATCTCGCGGTTACCTGGGGGCGTGTTGCGGAGGGCGCCATCACCATGTTTTGATGTCGTAAAAGAAGCTTTCCATGGCATGTTTGAGCCGCGCTAGAAGACCCGCTCGGCGGTTCTTCTTGGCACTTTACTGTATTCAGAAACACAAGCGAGGAGCTTTTAGGTAAAGAATGGAGCCGCTGCGGCTCCATTTGAGATTCAGATGGGTGCAAGAATTTTCCACACTGGAAAGCCGAGCAAAAACCGCCGCTAGCCACTGTCAACGAAAGGCGTCGCCCATCAAAACTTTTACGTCCAGGCGGACCAAGCGGAGACCCATTACGTGCACGAAACGTGGTCATTGGAGGGACAAGCCGGCAGGCAGGTCTTGGTTCCAGGCTGTGCTTGACTTCTTGTGGGCTTTCATTGAATTACTAGATGAATCGATGACCAACTGATGAATATGCTCAATCTCTTTCCAAGAGCCAGAGATTAGATGAAAGATATCCGTGGTTCGAAGGCGCGCTTACAGTTCCCGTGGCAGTTCGCGTCCTTAGACCCTTAAATGCACCTCGTCAGGGGTCAATGCGAACTGTGCAGGGTTTTGCTAGCTAAAATCATAGCGTGGAATTTTCTCCGATCTGAATCCTGCAACTCGGGCGAAGAGGGGCGACCTCGGTGTGGATCTCCCGGCATTTGACGGAACACCGGTTCGTGCTTCGGCTTTCGCGAGGTTCCAGATCTTCAATGATTGATTGTGGCGGGGACGCCTGACCTATCTGACTTTGCAAATACGTGTACAAATCACGGGCCTGTGCAATCATCTGCGCCCCCAAACCCATACTCAAATTCACAACCGATTGCAAAGGACAATGAACACATAACAACCAAGGCGTGGATGAGAAGACCGCACCCAACATCGCACAGACAGCATTTTCCAGTGCCGACTTTCTCAATCTCCACCTAGTTGCGTCCTGCCTTTGCATGTGAGAATGGGCAAGTCGCAACTCCTCTGCCTTTGATAGTCTCCATGTCTGAAGTCATTTCCTCGATCCCCTTTCCCTTCTGCGGTTCTGGTCCAATCGTCATTAGATCATATCCTTGAGGATAGTATCTATCCCCCTGCGAGCCAGGTGCTTTGGCGCCCAGTGACCGCAACAGCAATGCGGCAGGTCCCCACGTAGACCAAAAGGTAGGTTTCATGTACCACGGTTGCAGAACCTTTCGTTGGAAATTGTAGAGCTTGGTCTGAGGGTTGGCAGCTTCGTCAACCAGCCTGATGGCGGAGGTTGTTGGACGAGGGAGAGAAAGGTATTTAAGGTAGAGCTTTCGTAAATTGCGGCAAGCGAGCAGCGCTGTTGAGAGAACTGTGCCCGGAGACTCGAGACTGTCGTGAAGGAAATCGCATTAGTTATTTCGAAACCAGAAGCCTTTGAATCTTTCGACATACTTAAGACTTGTCACCATGACATCGTTCATGTCAGCAGCCAATGTCTTTCGTAAAGTGATTCGTACGAAGTCGGGCAGAGCAGACACGGCCGCATCAACGTAGACGCTCACATAGCGGTTGGTGGCTTCCGAGGGCCGGGCCACCTCATTTTCGTACTGAACGACCCATTCGGTCAATTCGTTGGCAAAATGCAAGCCGTCCCTCCAACCTTCGTTATGCGAGGGCAGCACATCATACGGAATTTTCATGTCGTCACCCAAGACTTTGTGAAAGACTCCAGCGGCACACTTCTCGGCGTCCGTCAACTTGCGCCATTCGTCCTTGTCGACGACCTCAAAGATGGAAATGAGACTGTCGCCTAGTGTATGGAGTAAGTCATTGTCTGTGATTTTGTTTGCTCGGCGGTAACGATCGTGTCTGGGGTATTGAATTCAGCAACAGCGTAAAAGCTCCCGGACAATTTTCTTACAGATAATTCATTCTTGCAACTGCGGCAGCATATCGATCTGAATCCTTAGACTTTGATTGTGCCTCCCTAAGAAGGATTTCTGTGTCGACGGCGCGTCTCCCAGCGTTACGCCTGCTGTTCTGGCCTGTCGCTAAGAAGAGCTTAGACATAGTTGGGATAGCACCAGCCTGAAGATGTCGATTCGAAGTGCCAGTGCTCATGCTGGCCCTTGGGCAAGTTCTGCCGACAAATCACTCACCTTCAGGAGGGAGATCTGCCGAGCCTTTGCCATGGACCGGGGAAACTCGAGCTCCTGCAATTGATTCATAATGTTTTGAGCCTCCTCGATAGTCATGCTTGACAAGGGCCTTCCTCCAGAAGTGAACGGTGCCTCCATGGAATTTTTTCGTTGATATCTCAGGGCTCGAACTAACAAAAGATACCCAATCACGGCGACGGCGGCCGGCAAGGAGATGTTGCTCCAGACAACTCGCGAGACGTTGCTGAAAGACGTTGAGAAAAGCATGTTGAAGAAGAGCTTTGCTCATGTGAAGTGCAGGCCGTGAAAATCATTTTGGTTATTTTCAGTGCACTAAATACTCTGTTGTCTAGGAGCGAAAGTATCATATGCAAACTCCGCTTCGCAGAAACTACAACACCCAGTGTAGTTGCGATGCTGAAAAAGCCGCAACAGGTAATTGGGCCGAGGTCTGGGTGTATTTACCAAGCATTGTTCGCCATGCTTTTCGGCTCTTTGTGGGTCTGCAGATGGTTTCCATGCTCTGCTGGACGTATTTGTAGAGACCTCGGAGTGATTTCAGGCCAACGGAGGCGAAAGGCGGGATACTACGGCCCCACACACCGGACTACTCCAGCCCCGCAACTCGGATTCATCCCGCTCCCCGACGTCATTCTTGATGCCATTTGCGGCGTTTCGGACGCGTCGTAACGGTATTCAAAGGGGCGTGATATCCGCTTACGAGTCTTTGCGACCTCTACCAGAAGGACATTAGACTCTGGGCTGAGGTCAGGTTGAGATGGACGGCATCCGTGGATGTCTATTTGAGTTCATCAGAGTATTGGTCCTCGGTATTATTGCTGTGAACGGTGAAGCTCTCCTAGATTTAGATTAATAATTGTATGACATAGTCATTACTGATTCGATATTCATGCTTCATTGTAGAGGCGTAGAGGCACAGATGCGGCCTCAAGTTCTGCAAAGTTGAGCAGCCGAGTTTTTTCCAAGCATGAAAGACATATTAGTTCTGACGTTGCAGACTGCCCAATGTCTTCAATCATCATCTTCTTGCCTGGCAACAAAGAAGTCTTCCATGTGCAAGCTTTCAGCCAGGTCCATGAGTTCCGTTGGGGATAGAGCGAAGCCGCTTTCGTTGTCGAAGAGATCCCATTGCAGTGATTCAACAGGATCGATATTGTGAGAACCCTCCGCGTTTGCTTCTTTGAAGGGATCCTCTTGCGAGGACGAGTGTTCTTCTGGATATTCATTGTTCCCTTGAGATGGTGTACTGAGAAAAGACGACACAAGCTGTTCAAGTCGTTCAAAGTCGCATTTACGCAGCTTTGCCGCAGGACTCCCTCTCTGATTCATGATGTCGAATATGTAATGTGCTTCTTCCAGGTATGATCGATCGGGAACCAGGCCAGATGACAAAATTTCGAGTACCTTGAGAAGAAATGCGGATGACCAGGCGGCCTCGAGTTGGAATGGTAGAAAGCAGTCTGCAATATCAGTAAACTGTACCTGTGGACGTTGAAATCACGATATGACGTTAGAGTGACATAACTTACCTAGCAAGTTGTCGTCTCCAAGTGCCTTCAACGCCTTGAGAGTGTTTACCGCGGAGGCTACGCAGGTTTGGAGCAAGGAGCTGATGGGTCCATCCGGTATGGACTTGTCATTACTTCCAGTTGCTAGCCTCTTTTGAAGTACACACATCACCAAAGGACGAGTTGTGAGGACAACACACTACCGTTCACACTATCAGTTCCAAACGTAGGCATCAAATGAGCAGCAGACTTACATGGTGATACGACAGGACTAAACGGGTCGCAACTTTTGACGTCTTCACATCAGCACCACGAAGTGTCGTGTTCATGTAAGAGCTCAGATTCCTCGAAACCATGGCAAGTAGACGCAAAACAGACTGGGTTTCTGTGACAAGGCTTCCATCAAAGTTCCGATCTACCCCATACACCCCTGCAAAATTCTAGTAAGCTTGCTGTACCAGACCTAGGCAAACTCGATAGACATCTGGGTCTTACCATTCAGTATTCTCGCTGTGAGACGAGAAAGCTGGATATGTAGCTCTAAGGCACCAGCATCTGCAGTGTTGGCGATTTCCGTAGGAAGTTTGGTTGTGATATCTTTATCTCTGATAGAACTAGGAGCTCCAACCAAAGTGGAAAATTCTCGATCGATAATGTACGCAGACCAGAAGACGGTGTTGCATCGTTGTGCGTGTCGTGGCTCTACTTGTTGGGGCGGCATGTGTCTGTGCATGCCATCTAGGACACAAATTCGCAGAGCTTGGCCTATCTAAGGTATCCGGCTTAGCATCATACAAAACCACATTTCGGAACCATCTACTTACGAGCTGGAACGACATCAGTCTCAAATCCAACGCTTGAAGATAGAGCGCGCCCAAACATAAGGCTTCGGCAGCCCTCAAAGGCTCTTTCTCCATGGGTATCATATTCGGGAGGAGTGAAAAGGCGCGAGAAGCATAGCCCACGCCAGGTACAGACTTGGACGTTCCTGTTGAATTGAAGGCTTCTCCGAATGCCAAAACAAATAGTAGTTGGCTGTACCAGTACCTTGCGTTCTTAGCTTCAGTGGCTGGACTCTCGTAAAACTGCTTAAGGCGCTGATCAAACTCATCATAATCGATAATCTCGGAGAATGGACCTAGATGGTATTTGACGGCAGCCAAATTGAACACGGCATATTCATATGACGGCAGGCTTTCAACATCAGGTTGCTCATTGAGACCAATTGGATTCCATGTGAGATTCAAAGTTTCGAGGTCCCAAGGACGGAGTGGCGGTTCCGGGTCAGGCGTATGACTGCCAATCGCTGCCAGTACGCGTCTGCAAAAGGCCCACGATGATGTTGGACCCATAAACCCTAGGTATGTGTAAGCTTGAAAAGACAAATGACTAAGTAAATAGAAGATGATACACCAATAGTGTTAACCTACAGTATTTTCCATGCGAGTCGAGAGCGAAGCTCTCCCCGTCGTTCACCAGTGGATTTGTCCCGAACTCATTTGCAGATGGTCGTACAGAGGTGGAAACACTTTCTAATGGTTGCTCATCCCAATACAAAAGTCTCGCATCTTCTATCCAATAAAAAAACGTTAGCATGTTGAACCTTTGTGCTAAATAACCGAACTGCGCTTACCCGGATTCGCATGATCATCATCTCTAGCGCTTCCCCCGATGTTGCCATAATTTTGAGTAGGTTGTCCGTCCAACTGACCAGAGCTATCTGTCGACTGAGGTGGAGATAGGACAGAAGCTTGGAGGAGGTTAAGGGGACGTCGTAGTGACAGCCCTCGTGCTGAGTGCCGAAGACTTTCTCTCGGCCGACCCGTACGGGTCTCTAGGGCTCTCAGATAACTATTAGCTCGGGTAAGTGAGCTGATCATGTCACACGTGATTGTGTAAGCAGTTTCAGTGTGAATCATACCTTTCAGACACTGTTATACGAGTCTCCTCTGGTCTGAAGTAACAACTTTCCTTCTTCTTCTCACATCGCGTACATGGAACCGTGCCCGAGCATCGGACCTTCATATCACGGCAGCGAGCACATCTGCTCGTCACATTAAGCTTATCAACACAGCATCATTTTCCAGGGTACGACGTACGCTCGGTTGCACCTGCGACTCGATCGCTCGTTGTTTCTAAAAGAGGTTGACATGATGTTAGTGACAATCTTCAACAATGTTCGGCGATGGTTCCCCGCATCCGACTCACTCTCTTACGTCTGTGGTGCACCGAGAATCGGCCCCACATACCGAGAGTCGGCTCCACTAACCGATGTTTCGGTCCGACATGTGTGTGAATGACAGTGACCTGATATGGCTTGAATACTTGGTTGTTTGGTTGGAAAGACAAACCTCGTTTGACGAAGGAGATATCTCGTCAAACCATGTGACTTCATTGGTAACCATTCGATGCCAACCTATGCGCAATTCGGGATTCGTAGTGGGAAAATCTCACCTGCTCTGGTTTGCGGTGTATCAACTTGCTGAAGTGAGCCCCTTTCGAGATTATTTCGGATCGGACAACATTGCAACCGTATGAAATGAGAATTTCATTGTAGTCGCTAAGACATATTCATCATTTCTATGCCACAATATTCGACCGATAAGTTAGGCGTTTTTCAAGGTTTCCATGGGTGTCAATTAAGCCTCTTTGTTGTTATTGATTTCGTCTGCCGCCCTTGATAGCCACAATTTCACTGCAGAATTAGGATGCCGCCAACCATGTTGCACTCGCAGCCGCTTGAACAGAAGCCGTCTTCGAGGTCCTCAGCAGTCTCCTGTAGTCCTCGATCTTGGAAATTCCTACGACCAGGAGTTCTTCTACCGTTGCAGGTTTAAGTTGACTCCTCCAGAGACTGATTACCCCGTTCACTTGATGATCATCAATGACGACCGACATAACAAGATTCGAATCGTCTCTGAGCTCCCACGAGGCTTTGCCGTACACAACCATTCCTGTTGCTTTCCAGTGTAGACGGGGAAGCTCGCTACTGGGCTCAAATTGCCCCTCAGTTGCCTTAATGATGACTTTTCGGTTGTCCTGGACGAATTGTATTTCAGTCGAGGGGGGCAAGGAATGAAAATCAAACATGGCCACCTCGCGATTTCCATCCACTGGCGACGTGACGTCGCACTTGTCTCCCCAGGCTCCAAGTATGGCCCGCCGTTTGATTTCGTAACGTGGTACTGTATCGCCATTCATGCCCACGATTCGACGATGACCCACAAGAGCGGTGTATTTCAACTGCAAAACTGGCTGCTCGTTATTGCGTCGTGGGTCTGGAGTTGCGTCCACGCGGACGATGTATTTCTCAAGCCAAGCTGGGGCCATGCTGGAAGTTGAAGGAGTGATTGAAAAGGAGCCTGGCGTTAAAGCTGATTCTTTCGAGGAATTGTGAAAGCGCAGGGTGTGCGTGTAGCTTGCGAATTATATGAAAGAATTTGGAAGATGGAGTTACTGAGAGGCTAACTTCATCGTATATATAGTCCAGATTGTTGCTACCTACGACCATCATCGTATGAGAAAACGACTGGAAACGTCGGGGAGTGGGTGTTGAGGTGCGAAGACGGACTCGGCATTGTGGGCATACTCTGTTTGGCTTAGCTGGTAGGTCAAAAAAGCTGAAGGGGTCAGCTCGCCAGCCAGGATATCAAGAGTGCCCCGTCTCAATGGCGATATTTTAATTTGAGGGGGCTGAATAAAATCATTCGGGCGATATGTCTCCAGAAGCCCTCACGCCAAGTAGCAGATCGTGGCCAATGAATTACATCTTTCCATCGTAGACTCCACCTCCGTTGTCGGGCTCCATAATATCTATCGGGCTCCATTCCTAGAATATCCCGGACAATAGGAGAAGCTCGGGAGCGGAGACTCCGCAACGCTTGGGTAAATGAATGTCCTGGTTGATTATTTCCAATTCGCTAGGTTCGAACTGGGAGGCAGCAAGGATTCAATGCTCTGTCATCCCGTCTCGGTTTGAGAACGACAAAAGAAGCTCAATTGTGACTATATAGATCGAAAGGATACCTCATCGATGCGTGCTACTTGCAAAAGCCTAAAGATGCGCGCCACGTGTGAGTAACCATAGGAGCTCAATCAGAGAACCACTACTATATTATCCATGTTATCTAAGAAGAAATCCAGGGAAGACCGGATCCGCAGGGTCTATGTAAAAGCTCATGCGACCAACCAGATTAGCAGAGCCCCTGATCCGGGGAATGCAAGCCGGGAAGTCCTTGATCGGGCTGACCTCTTCTGAAAGAATGCTCCCCTCAAATTGTGTGGAAATAATGGACCGATGAACAAGCTTTGACCGACCAGCTGCAAGTTTTCCCTGAGCTAGAAGCACAGCAAGTCTTGCGCCAGTGCCAGACCCGCAGGGAGATCTATCAATCTGCCCATCGGCAAAAACGGTCACATTTCTCTGCTTCAATCCATCGGCATCATCTTCAACGTCGCCGTTCTCGTTGTAGAAGATGACCCCGTACAAGTCGTACACCCCGTGGTTCGCTCTTTGACCGATTGCAAATTTGATCTCACGTCCAAGCTTGATGAAGTCATTGTATTGATTTGGTTCAACATCAAGGTGAAGCTGAGCTGCATCCAAGGTCGCGTATACTGCTCCAGAGAACGCAAGATCGACGGTGATGGGTTTTCCGTGAGAGGGAATGTCGACGGGAAGATTTTTGGCAAACTGATAGCTCAGGACATTGACGAAGTCGGCATGAACTGGTTTGCCCTGTTGAACAGCAACACTGGCGGTGACCCGCCCTGAAGGAACATCTATGACAACTTGTACTGCGCCATCTTCTTCGGTAGCCTTTACAATACCATTGGCAATGGCCCAAAAGCCCAATGCAATGGTTCCATGGCCACAGGCAGTGGAGAAGCCATCCTTGTGCCAGAACAAGACACCGAAATGAGCGCCGCTGTCGTTCGGCGGCGTGATGAAGCCGCCGTACATATCTGCATGGCCACGGGGCTCATGACAGAGAGATTGACGCAATGTATCTAGCGGATGTGCGGTATCTTTCATGATGGAAAACCGCTTCTCGGCGACGGTGCGATCTTCGGGCAGGTAGCCGGACGGGAGCTTCTCGACAATGCGAAAGGGTTCCCCGGCTGTATGCCAATCTTCGGTATTAATCCAGAAAGGCATCGTTCTTGTGGTATTCGTAGGCATTGTGGGCAGAGTTTTTAAACGACTGTGATCAAGAGAATAAAGAACAGCTGGTTGGTGACGCAGCGACGTAACCAAACTAGGCGTCAAGCAGTAACATTTGCGCCTTGGTTGAAAAGCAAATTGTGATTATTAGATGACCTTTTCTAGTTGGCTCTCCAACCTCCTTTTGAATTGAATGCGGGGGAGCGCGGAGTGGATGTAGGCCGGCCCGACGAAGCCGACATGCGGAGCTGAGTCCTTCAGACTTCAGCGGCAAAATCAAGTGTCGCATAATCTTCCATGATGACTATGATGACTTGAGCGACAATAATAAACCGGTATTCCTCACTTGTTCTCCAGACCGGAGTCTATCGACGTAAACCGTATTGCAGCCCTCAACTCCTAAGAGTGCTGTGACAACGCCAAAGTCATTCGCTCTTACCCTGGAACTCCCTGACAAGGGCGCAGGCAGGAATTGAAGAGCAAGAAACGCGCTTCGGCATGATTCGACACTGTCTAAAATCTTTTCAGATTCCAAAGACCCGTGAGCACCGTCTTAATCTGCCGCTGGCCATCCCATATAGGGTAGATTCCCACCATGAGTAAGGTCCACCACAACCAGATAAGAGACACCACGACCCATGCTATGAAGAACTTCAAAAAGAGACGCAGTCAGTAGAAATCCATGCCCAAAAAAACCCCTTGGTCGCCCGCAAGAACCCAATACGCACCTCTTTACTGAAAATATACTTCGCGGCGTACATTGGCAAGGGCCACAACACCCAGTGACCAAGAAATGTAGCAATCGCCCACCACAAGGCATATCTAGCCCATCGTTTATGAACCCTGTCGTCCAAGATTGGAATGCTCGTGCTTTCTGGAGATTTTCTCTGCTGAGTTGTGATATTCTGGATGGGGCTGTCTTCGGAGTTAATGGCCAGCGTCTCTTCCTTGAAGTCATCCCAGTCGTAGTTGTCTGGCTTGACGAGTGAAATACATATGCTGTACACCATCGGGCTGAAAAGCGATGCTACCGTGCCGTACATACAAGCGAGCGTGCCTCCGGTTGATGAGATTGACACCTCTCCGGAAAAGGCATAGGCAGAGCCAAGCCAGACCCCAAGACCTGTGGCCATGCCTAGGAAGGCTGAAGTAACAATAGCTATTGCACTTTGTTTGCGCCAAGTGATGGTGAATATCATTGGAATTACACCAGGACATGTAAGCACGCCTGTAGAATTCAAGTCAGGACTTCAAACTGAGGACTGTATATCACGGGCTGAAACACTTACCAAGCATGTACAAAGTCCAACCCATATCCACCCCAATGTAGTGAAACATTGCAGTGAACCCGGCAGATACCACGCCAAACAGAACAACTCCAAGGTGACCCCAGCGAATTACCTCCTTGTTTCCTGCTTTTTTGTTGAAGTATACTCGGTAAATGTCGAAGGTTAAGATGGAGGATACAGCAAGGATTTGGGCGGAGAGTGTGGATGTCACAGCCATGAAAGTCATCAAGAGTACGGCGACTGCGCCACCTTTGCCTGCCACAGCGACGGCCACATATGGCAAAGCTAGTCCGTTCGTGACCTCAGAGGTCGTCATAGGCTGGGAGATGATCAGTCCCGGACGGTCTTGTCATTGCCCCAATATCGAAGACTTACTCTTGGATAAGTTGGGAAGACGGGCAAGGCTTCGAGTCCCAGTGACGCCATTCCAATCACAGTTCCCAAACACCACGGTATGCTGAAATAAGAGACTCCCCCAAGAACATAACCAGGAACTACAGCTCTTGGAGATGCTGCGAAAGCCTTCAGGAAGTACCCTGTATCCATCTGCCATTTGTTGTTAGCATACATCTTGGTGGCAATCATATTACACTCACAATGACAGCTCCGAAGTTAGAAACCAGAAGAATGATGGCAAAAAAGATACCCTGTTGCGAAGTCAATGTGAGAAGAGAGCCTCTGTAGTTTCCTTCCACAAAATGCTGCTCTTCAGCTGCAACGACCATGTCATAAAGCCTCCCAATTGACCCGATAGCTTCGCAAGTGATGACTTTAGCTGTGAGCCAGCAACATAAGATGAGAATGATGAAAGTATGAATGTAATCGGTGAGAAATCTATAACATTCAGCAAACAAAGCCCCGGATTACAACTACCAACCTGATGCACTCACGTGGCTTTGATGCCACCCACAAGGGTGTAAAGGACAACTCCAAGAGGCAGTAGGAATGTGGACGCCATGATGTGAATTCCCGTGCTTTCTTTTGTTAGATCATACTAGAAACTATAAGAAATCGTATCGTGTTATGCAAGATTCGTACGTACAGAAAAGAGATAGCCGCAGAAGCGCCAAGTATCATGTTGATGGTGTTGAGGAGGTTGTTCACGATGGCGAGAAAAGTAAAGCTCAGGTGCGCAACAGTACCTATACACACATTCAGTATCTCAACTGGTAGCAAGAAAAATGTTTTCAGGAAAGCAGGTACCGTATCGAATACGAATAACCTCCAGAACTGTGTGCGCCTCTGGGATTCGACTCTTGCAAACAACGCCAAGATAGCTGAAGAACACGATGACTGTCGAACAACCTCCACCGTACCAAAAGGCACCGCTTATGCCGTAACTATAAGTTACGAGTACACAACTCAAAAGGGCTGCGCTCCACAGCCATGACTATAAGTCTGTTAGCTCATTCCCAGGTCATTCTGCTCTGGCTGACTGTTGGGTTTGCAGCGCTGTAGGGGAACTGACTGAAACCACCGCTGATGCGACGAGACCTGTTCTCACGCTTCTGTCTGCAACCATGAATCTGCAAGATACTATTAGGTATGCACTCGTCTCACATTCATGTTATCAAACTACGTTTCAGCCTTGGAATTGTCTTCGCGTAGAGTCTTTTTCAAGATAGCCGTCACACCCATCATGCCTAGTCGTTTGTGCCTCGTCAGTTTCATTTCGAAAAACACCATTTAAAATATGCCAGAAAACTTACCAAATGCAAATAAGAGGCCCAAAGCCACAACAACTCCATATCCAACCGATTGGGGAAGTGGGGATGGTATCACAGAATCGTCTACTGTGCGGTGATGAAGGATCATTTTGGAATTCTGACGGGTAACAAGCCGTGAAAGTCACAAATCAAAGCATGGACGCGTTCTAAAATTTCAAAGTCTCGGACAACCTGGCACTGTCATATTTATCACGAATAATTACTCGCAGGCAGAATACATTGCTCATACTCGACTTTGATAACGTGATCGAAGAACAGCCAGGGTTTCTCGCAGCTTGAGACTCTCAGATATTAGCACATCGGTGCCATAAAGCTCGTCAGAAGAGCTACCGTCGAGACGTTAACCAGAATTTCAACCAGCTTGCGCAAGCCCTTCAAGCATATGAAGCCTCTCTTCCAGCACCGATGCCGGCGGGTCGAGTCAGGGGTTGAGATAAGGGCGAAATCTGGGGATACGGACAGGGATCGCGTCTTGGCTGCCAGAATAGGTTTAGTGTATATCGCACAATCTGCCACCGTCCCGATCTCCCGGTGTTAAGAAGGGCCCCGCCTGACAATTCACTTCCCACGTCTCCACGACCTCTCACGAACATCAGCCGTAAACATCAGACCGGCCGCCAGCCACCCACCGCGTAGGGAGCCAAGCATGTCTTGAAAGCCATGCAAGATGCATTCTTCGCTTCGAACTCGTGCCGCACCTGCCGCCAAAAGCGGGTCAAGTGTGACAGACGCTTGCCCGCGTGCCTGCGCTGCTCCTCCCTGAAGCTCCGATGTGAGGGGTATGAGCGACCAAAAAGGCTGGTGTGGACTCATAGCATGGCTAGCAGGGGCAAGCTTATGGGCAAGGCCACTTTCACTCCAGTAAATGGAAGTTTATCAGAGGTGTCTTGGCGGTCGCCGGATGAAGACGAGCCCATGGAGTCAGGTTCGGAGACTGGCCCATCATCTTCGATTATTCCTTGGTCCCTCGTAGAGCCGGACATGCAAGACCTGTCCCCGGAATGCAGGAAGTACATTCGTTACTGTGAGTTCTTTCCAATCTGTATCCTTACCCTACCTTCTCACACGAGTCAATGCACCAGTCGATCTGGATCTTTCCAGAGAATCTGTGGTCTATGATCGGCCATCAACCAACCCTTTCTTGGCTTTGATGCCCTTGATATCGAAAAGCCGGGCCTTCTTACACGCTGTCATTTCAATTTCTGCATTTCACTGCACCCATCGAATGGTCATCAGCCACGGGCAAATGCCGTCCGGGAGCCTGTTATCGCATAAGCCTGAGAATCTCGGGCCATGGTATCTCTGGCAGGATCATAGTTGGCAAATGGGCCAACCCAGCTTTCGAGAATCACTACAGACAGCATTGTTGCACAAACAAAACGCCCTGCATTGTCTTAAGCAGGAGGTTCATGATGATCCCACAAGGAACAGTGACGCAGTCGTAGCAGCAGTTATTCTCTTCGTTTGCATGGATGTTGTGGAATTTGGAAGCCATGGCTGGAATCACCATCTCCGGGGTGCTCAAGAGATGGTACGGAGCCGGAGATTATCTGACATTAGCGAAGATAACGAAGCCGCGCCGTGGTTGAAATATTTTGACACCGCATGCACGACGTATGTTCTTCCTCCTTATTCCTCTTGTCTTGTCGGTGACTGATTAGCGAGGCAGCTTTGGGATCTTGGGGGCCACTCTTGCACCGGCCTTGAACCCCCCTACCAACCAATATCCCATAATGGACCCGTTGTTTCTCCAGAACCTTCGGAATTCCGAAAACCAAACGTGGGTCGGTTGTCCTGCAGAGCTGCTCTACGTCCTCTCTGGCATCAATTCCATGCGCTCGCTGCATCATATGAACGTGGAAAGACGACAAGCCTTATCAGATCTACTCCAAGCCTTGCTCAATTTCTCGCCATTGGCGTGGGCTCAAGATTTTCCAGATATCCAGTACCACGAGTCCCGCTCTCATCTTGCCCATGCTTACAAAGCGGGCGTTGAGGTATACGCATCACACATCATCGGCGCACCTCCTGGCCATCATTACTTATCGTACCCCCACGTGGTCGAAATAATGAGGCCCGCGATGCTCCACCTCCTTGCTGTTCCTGCCGAAGATTTCCATATCAAGAGCTTGGTGTGGCCGGCCTTCATCCTCGGCGCTGAGGCACAAGATCTCGAGCTCCGAACAATGGCACGCACAGTATTTCAACGTATTTGGGTGTCTTCATGTTGTTACAATGTCAAGAATGCTGCTGAAATTCTCGAGAGAATCTGGGCTCGAGAAGCTGGGGATGAATCTAGCAGCTCTTGGCTGGAATATGTCTGGCAATTGGAGGAGACCTGGCTATTCGTCTAGACTCTAGAATTATAATACCAACGCCTTATCGTTCGACTTCAATGATAATCAGTATGTTAGTTTCTGATATGTCTGCATCTTTACGTCCTATAGACGGAAATTGTGTCAAAGAAATTTGTTCTTCTTGCAGCACGCTTGTCTATGTAAGGAAGTGCGGGTCACACATGTAAAAGCCGGGATGGAGGGTCTTCGCCAAGCTCGTGCCAACGCCGAATTGTGGATAATCTGCAAGAGACTGACTTTGATGCAGGCTGGGGCCGACCCGGGAAACCTTTCCGGGTCCTTTTGAGGCCAGCTACAAAGCCCGATAATGTTATGGGGCTGATAAATACCGTATCGTCGCCATCCAACATCCCCCTTCTTGGTCTCACTTCTGGTCATCATCTCAACCCCCGCATCTCTCAGCCATGTCTTCAATCCCTCATCCACTTTGCCCTTTGACGGGTGCAGAAATTCAATACGCTGCGAAGTTGATCCAAGCTGCGTGGCCGGCCTCCGTCGCGCTACAATTCAAGGCCATTACTCTCAATGAGCCTGCGAAGCAGGAATTAATTCCTTATCTCACAGCCCAAGAGAAGGGGTTGTCTCCGTCACCTCCCGATCGCCGCGTCTTTGCTGCGTACTACATTCGCAAAACAGTGAGAGATGCAACAGAGCTTCACTTTCTCATACGGAGATTGTCAGAACTGACCGAACCAGGAACTCTTCCATGAAGCTGTTGTCAACCTTACCACTGCGAAGGTTGAAAGCAACGTGAAGCTCGGTGCCAACCTTCATGGCAATGTCGATTACGATGAAGCCCAGATGGTCGAAAAGATCGCGCTTGAAGACCCGGCCGTCTTGGCTGAGATCAAAAAGCTCGAGTTGCCCGAGGGCACCGTTGTTTGCGCAGACCCTTGGATATACGGTAAATAGGAGGCGGAACTTGCAGATGAATTGATCGGAAGGCTAATCTCACGCAGGAACTGACGGTATTGGAGACGAGCAGCGCCTGTATCAGGTATTTCTCTACATGAGAGATCCAAACAACTCCTCTGAGGCCGACTCAAACCACTACGCATTTCCCCTTCCCATCTCGCCCGTGATCGAGTGCACCGAGTACAAGTTGGTCCGCATCGACGTCATGCCCACCGGCGCCGACAATACCATCAAGCCCGTCAGTCCATACCAGCCCAAACCTCCAAACGAGTACATCCCAGAGAGCCAGGACCTGCGCAAGGACCTCAAGCCTCTGCAGGTAAGCCAGCCTGAGGGACCCAGCTTCAAGGTTACCCCTGTTGGTGAAACTGGAAATGTTCTCGAGTGGCAGAAGTGGACTTTCTTCATCGGTGAGCGGATGCTTTTGGCTACAAGATACGACGAGGCAACTGACACTTTGACCAGGCTTCAACCAGCGTGAAGGCATGGTCCTTTATAACGTCAAATACGACGACCGGCCGCTCTTCTATAGACTGTCTCTCTCGGACATGAATGTTCCGTATGCAGACCCTCGTCATCCCTTCTTCAAGAAAACTGCCTTTGACTTGGGTGATGCTGGAGCCGGCGCTACAGCCAATAATCTCCAGCTTGGCTGCGACTGTCTCGGAAACATTCAGTATCTCAGCGGAGTCATCTCCGATGATAAGGGTCAGCCGGAAGCGAAGGAAAACTGTATCTGCATTCACGAGCAAGATGCCGGCATCGGTTGGAAGCACACCAACTACCGCACTGGCCGTGCTGCAGTCGTCAGGTCGCGAGAGCTGGTGCTTCAATCCATCATCACTGTCTCTAATTACGAGTACATCTTGATGTTCCTCTTCAACCAGGCTGGTGAGGTTACATATGAAGTACGAGCTACCGGTATCCTGTCGACTCAACCCATCGACCACGATCTGGACAAGATCGGAGTACCTTTTGGTACTATCGTCCACCCAGGCGTTCTTGCCGGCCACCACCAGCACATTTTCTCTCTGCGAGTAGATCCCATGATCGATGGCCACACCAACCAGCTCGTCTATCAAGAGGCTCACCGAATGCCAAGAGATCCCGACTGGAACCCTCATGGCATTGGCTATGGGGTCATTGAGACGACAGTTGAGAAGACGGCTGGCCTGGACCTTGATGTCGACACCAACAGAACTTTCAAGATCACCAACCCCAACTCGCTCAACCCAGTCAACGGCAAGCCCGTTGCCTACAAGATCATGGCTCCTCCATTCCAGAAGCTCATGGGCGACTCTGAAAGCTATAACCACAAGCGAGCAGAATTTGCCGACCACAACATCTATGTCACGACCCACCGTGACCGTGAGCTTTACGCTGGCGGTTGGTACACTAATCAGTCTCGCGGGGGTACAGGCGTGAGAACTTGGGCTGAGCGGAACGAGACTCTGACTCCGAACTCCGACATCGTCGTATGGGTTCAGTTCGGCATCAACCATGTGCCAAGAATTGAAGACTTCCCGGTTATGCCTGTTGAGATCCTCAAGGTGCACCTGAAGCCCGTCAACTTCTTTGATAAGAACCCGGCTTTGGATGTGCCGCCAAGCGAGCAGAAGTTCAACCAGAGCACCCTGGTTGAGTCGGAGAAAGGTCGCGGCAGCGCAGGTGACGCAAGCTGCTGCAATGCCTCGGGCCCCTCATCCAAGCTTTGAGTTGTGTTCTTTCTCGCCCTTGTGCATTCATGATTTAGTTAGTTTCTTCGCCGAGTAGAAAGACTGCACAATAACGAACAGGCCAATAGTCTCATATGCATGCCGAAATATCAACAATACTGTGTCATACAAAATTTGAAAAAGAGCTGTTTTCATCATCATTGTCTCTTCAAACGTTTTCTGACAGCCCATTTCGCTGGAACATAGGGAAAGGCTAAAGCCTTTACAGCTGGGAACAACCGAACGCTGGGTATAGAAGCAGGCAGCTGTGATTGACCCGGAAGAGGCAGCACAAAATATGTTAAGTGAATAGACTGTGTAGATTTCTCTCCATCTCTATTGACAAAACCCTCCAAGGTCGTTGCTACACCCATAACTGACAGTAGAACCCCAGCTTAACATTCAGGAAATCAAGAGTCGCCTGCAGGTTGTTGATGACTCGTCGACCTAGACACATCGAAAATCAAATGATTTGCTTGAGTTCCAGAATGAAAGTGGAAACCTGTGCGCCAGAGTTTCGCAGATCCTTGAGATGCTCCTGGACCTGAACATCTCGAAGTGCATCGTTGAGACCCTACCCAGTCAGATCAGTTGCCACAGTTACCATGAAATCGTGTCTGGGGACTGCTTTATCAAAGTCATAACGTACCGTGATTGACTTCCATCCACTGAAACCAGCGAACTGGCCTTCATGGACTTCCCTGCCATCACCGCAATGAGACAGGGTCTCATTGCCTTCGATACCTTGAAAAGCTGCCACGAGCTTGTTCCACTTCATTTTGGAATCTTCAACTCCAGCTTCAGCACCAGTAGCCTTGACGACGAACAGATGAGTGCTATTCTGTAACGTCTCCCTGGGTGCAACTCCGGCGGTCTCTTCGAAAAATTGAAGGACCGGGGGTGCTTCCACGAACTTAAGCAACGATGACTTGAAGGTGGCAAAGTTCGGAGTGGTGAGAAAATCCTTGATCGTGTCAAGCTTGTCCCAGCCTAGCAAGATAACAGTCAGTCAGCAACTATGTTTAGAATAGCTGCATGTCATGGAGCCAAACATACTAATCACACCCACATAACCGCGCTGGTCATCAGCATCCTCTGGGTTGCTTTCGAGGATTCGGGCCACTGCTGCCGTATCCGGGCCTCCAGGGACGGCAAAGTTGGGCTTCATCAGGCTGGGGAGCTCTTCATAGAACCGAGCCTTCAGGTCCTCACCATCCTTGAGGGGCAGGAAAACGAGCTCCGTAATCGCCATGGTATCCGATGTAGGTAAGAAGGGAAGTCTTGGAATAGAATGTGCTTGAGGTGAACTGAGTGAAGTGGTGATATTTTGAGCTCATAACAGCATCAAATATGCCTTTTATAACCATCAAGTGCATTGGAATTATCCTGGTTCTCCGACACGGCCCCGTGACTCCGACATAAGACGGGTGCGGACTGCGGTGGGACTGCGGAGCAAAGCGGGTCATGTACAACTCGGATAACCGCGGCGATCTTACTGCCATTTGCTGCTGACTACAATCCGGAAGTACGAGTTTCGTGTTTGGTAGAGTTGGGATTTTCTATGTAGTCGAATACTATGCCACTCAAGCTTCTGCACGTCTCACAGCGTCGACGCCCTTGCACGCAGCAACGATCAAGTTTTGGAGCCTCTCATCATCCTTACTGACTACTGGAATCAAGCCCTTTTCCCATTCAACCACATACTCGGGGTAGAGTAACATGTCTCGCCCAGACAGGCTTTTCGGGACTACTATCGCAAAAAGGTCTTGCCAGACAGGACAGATCTTGTGGTTGAGAACCCAGTATACAGCGCGAACTTCATAAGACATGATGATCGTCCGATAGGCTGCTTCTAGTAGTCCCGTATGGTCTGTGTAACAAGCACTCGCCATGTCGAACATGCCAGAGGATGACTGTAGTCGTTGGAGTAGCTGTACCTGCAGCTCAAGCTCTCTGGTCCAAGAAACAAACAATGCTTCTTGGGCCATGGCCTTCTGGGCATCTCGTGTCTTGTTGCTGAAACGCTGTATAATTTGATACATGATAAGAGCTTGAAGTCTGGCGATCTTCTCCCTCATGATAGAGCACAAATCACGCCTCTGTCCATTTATATCGTAGTCGGAAGCTAGGGTAGATGTGTTCACCAGATCTTGAAGTTCGCGGTCCAGCAGCTGGTCAACGAGGTGTCCATGGGATTCCGAGACAGTCTCATGGGCAGCACAGACACCTAGAACTTTTTCAAGCACTGGATCAAGACGAGGAGAGATTTGTGGTGTTGCCACCATCATAGGCGTGGATCCAGTCTTCGCGTAGAGTGAGATGTACGAGAGCATCTCGTTGGCACAATATTTCCATGTGTCTACTTCC